GCATCCCAGCATACTTTGAAACCTCGGCGGGGAAGATAGCTTCCTTGCTCTTGAGAGTGGCAACCTGGGCATCAAAGATGCTTTAGCCCTGCTTGGGAATTGCACCGAAAGTGGCAACCTCGGATTGGATGAGTTGGGGCTTGAACTCTTGGGCCACCTCGAGCTCACAAGCTAGAAACCTAGTTCCCTGGTCATCCTCAACCAAGTTGATGACAGGCACGTCCTCTCCTTCCTTGTCGGGGCAGCAGGTGCAGTGGGACTAGTGATGGGCTCGGCGGCTGGGGGTTCGGTGCAAGGCACCTTCCTCTTCTTCTTTTTCTTCAAATTAGAGAAAAGCTTGGAGACTGGGATATCCGCCATGGTACTTGTAACACAGACACTGACTTAGCAAAGAAGCCGGTGAGAAAGATCAAAGGTTTAAGTGTGTGAAACCGAAGTGGAGACCTACCCGGACTCAGCCCTGCATTAACTAACTTTTCCTTGGCTAGGAAGTCGTAAAACTCCAACCTGAGCTTCGTCCAGGCACATATTTGTTTCTTCATGTTCTTATCTAGCTTGATGTCGGGGTCACTGATGGCCGTTCTCCAATGCGTCAGAAACGGCCACCCCCCGACTACAGTGACAATAAAATAACACCTCTTCCAGGTTGGGAATTTGTTGGGGAAACAATACAAGATCTTGTATCCAGGTCGGGGGGTCAGGTAATAACTACGGTGTTTGGAAGAAGGAAGACTGGTAGAGTTTTTCTTGATAGAACAGATCGAGCTAAAGGTGTCCATGGTTAGAGGTTTGGTGAAGTGATGAAACAAGGAAATAGTGCCTACTATAGAATGAACCGAGTTCGAGTGAAGCTGGCCTATGGTGATGTTAAAAAACTGGAGGATCTCCACAATGAACAGGTGAAGCGGGAAGCGCATCCCAGCAGTCAGCTGCTCTTTGAACACTACAACCTCGTCGGGATCGGGATCCCAAGGATACCCTTCTAAAGGGATACTCCAGCCATGGTCCTCAGAGAATTTGTAGTACTTGTCTAGTGTTTGTAGTCTCTCCGCAGTCATCACAGAAGGACCGAAGCAATCTGGCCCCGACCTCCAAGAACTGCGGAAGCTCGAGGCTTCCTTTTTGGAGTCCTCTCGCTCCTTTGTTTGGGAGTCCACATCAGGTGGACTAGGCTCAAAGCCATGTGCCGAGGTGCCCAACTCGGTAGGACCTGACTCTACTTTTTGGCCCGAGGAGTCCACCTCGGTCCCACTTGACTCACTACTAGCATCTAGTTGACTACCAGTGTTGACACTTGACATTGTAATTGAAGGAAAACAAGTAGGAATGAAGGATACTTACCTAGATTGGGGAGAGGAGGAGATGACTTTGAAAGACAAGAACAGGTGACACCGGCCTGGAAGAAGACACGCGAGCTCATACCACGAATGCACAAATCACGACGAAGAAAATGGGGACCCCATAACCCCTATTTATAGCTACTGTAGTCGATTTTGGACGGGCAAGATCAACATGATATGACGGCTCCCCTAAAAACTGGTTGCACTCCTCCTAAGGCCAAAATCAGTTGAGCGCGCATTTTGATGTTCGCACGGTTAATAATCTGCGTGACGTCTATGGGTTCTTGATATGTGATCTGGCTTCCTAGTCGAGCCGGACAGGTCACTAAGGTCAAACCACCAGATCGGCCAAGGCCAAATCCACCTCAACTCGTCATGAACTTCTCACATCGAGTCATGACCTGTGCACGAGGAGTGGGGGGCAATTGATGAGGGATGATTTGGCCTGACCTGATGAACAGAGGACTTGTGGACAAAACTTGCCAGCCAAGTGATGACTTAGCACTTCCAACCACCTCGGTAGATCGGTCACCTCGAGTGTCTCATTCACTTCGGATTGGCCCGAGGATAAAGTATCCCGGATGCCTGTATTTGCCGAGATGACATGTAGTAGGTTCTAGAAGCTGAACAGTTGTCTCCAAGCCTTTCAGGATCACATCGCACATTCGTAGGTCTTATCCTTATCCTACCGATGCCGATGGACACGATGAGGTTTATCGGCCAACACATTATCCACCTTTTGGAGTGGAATGGACTCCTACTGCTTGTTCTGAGGATCTCAGAGAGGTTTCGTGAGGCTCATGGCAGCCCAACTATATAAGGGCATTAGCCCCCATAGCACAAGGTACGCGTGATTACTTGCTCACTAGCTTACTGCGTTTAAGCTTTCAGCTCGCTATCAGAATACACTTCTAACTTAAGAATCGGAGCAACCTCACCGGGTTAACTACCCTGGGTTAAAATACTAAAAATAATTAAAAAATTAAATTAATTGTATTTTATTGCAAAAAATACTRAATAATAATAAAAAAATGTATTTTAATTATTAATAGTAATATAATTAACAATAATTAATTTTAAATTGTAATTAATAGTAATTATAATTTAAGCTATAAATAGTAGAAAATTACATTTAATTACCAAAAAATTATATTCAATTACCAGAAAATTACATTTAATTAGTTTTAGTCATGAAATGAGCAATATCTCTAAAAATATGATAATTTCCAAAAAATACTGTATTTTAAATAAATACAGTAATTTAATAATTATAATATTTTAATAATTAATAATAAAAAGTAACAAATCATTTATAATTTAACCCAACCCGATTATATCTATAAATTTGTAGGCTCAARCAACAACTATTTTCTTTTGAGTTAGGTCTAACTGAGATATGCACCATGCCTACACATTATCAGAGATAATCAGATTCGAAGTCTAATTGTGTATCAAACTTTTGGAGTCCAATGATGGCTTTGGCAATAGGCCCAAGCTAAACAACCYCTAATAAGCTCAACTTGGAAATTATATGCATATATAGTAAATATTATTATATAATATTTAAATAACAAATTTTATATTAAGATATATAGAAATGTTATATATTTTTTTTATATAAACTAGAATTAAATAAAAATTTTAATTTGTAAAAAAWTATAGTTTTAAAATTAACACGGTTATTTTATTTTTTTGAAAAATGCAAAATTCTATGGGGTAAAATGAGCATATATCACTGCTAACATAGTTGAAAATGTCCAATAAATGGTTATGTATAGGCTCTGCAATGGTTTGTACCAGTTGATTATCATGTTACAATAGTTGAATGTGGATTTTTAATAAGCAAACATGGTTTATACTAATTGAGCATGAAATTGCAACAGTTGGAAGAAGTTTTGTGGTAGCTTATTATAGTTGATTATAGGTTTGGTTTTTAACAATCGAGTATCGATTGGTAGCACTGAAGTACGGACCGATACAAACTTATCAATTTTTTTCAAAACCGCTATTTTCCTTTTGACCCTTGCATATTGATAGTTTAAATCTGAAATTGTCAAAAGAGCAGTGAGAGATTTTTTGACACTTAGCAAAAAACAATCCRTTTTGGCGAAGAGGACGTTGGAGTATTACAACGTGGTATGTATCTTAGCATAGTTTTTGAACTATTGTTGACCAGAYAGTCGAAACCGTTTGGGCCAAAAACCATTCAATTAACCAGTTCTGTTCCTCCTCTGAACCAGAATATTGTCAAAAACCGTTGATTTTGTCAGTGACCCGCTGACTTGAAAGGTCAAACCATTGCCTCGAACAACATTTTTTGGTTGCTTTTTATTTTAATTAATTTTTTTAATTTTTATTTTTTTAGAACGCAACAGATTGTCCATTAAGACTGAACGTTTGAACCACTGACCCAGAAACCAGTGGCCAAAGTGATTCTGGTTCCATGTCGATTTTTAAAACATTATATCTTAATGTATCACATGGTATATATTGATTTTCAAATCAAAATGTCAAAGTACAGGAAAACAGGATGTCTCTAAATATTTAAAGAGAAAAACCCATCCCAAATTCCTAGTAGTGAAGAATTCAAATTAGTTGAACGCTTTAACTGTTCAGCAGGCTGTGGAAATAATGAAGTTCTAGCCAATAATAAATTCATARGCCCCACTGTAAAGATGCGGGCCTCATGTATTTAAATACTAGTTTGGAACCTTATCATTGGTTCCACAGCCTGCTGAACAGCTAAAGCATTCAGCTAAATCTTGATTAGTTGTGAAAACCAAGGATTTTAAAACCAAACCAGAGAGGGAACCGTTCAGGGGTCTGATTTCTGGGTCAAGTGATCCAATTGTCTGGTCCAAATGAACGGCCCACTCTGACACAAAAATTTAAAAAATTTAAATTTAAAAAACCCAAAAAATTGGCCAAAAACCATTCTTGGGTCAAACGGTTTGACAGTTCAACCACTGAATCAGCAGTTCACTGACCAAATCAATGAATTTTAGCCAAACAGTGGTTTTGGGTAAAAGAGAACCGGTCCCCGATTTTTCCAATCCGATTTTGAAAGCATTAGTGAAAACATAAAAACAGACAAACGAACCAAATGTTGTAGGTATTAACAAGGTTCAAATATCGATATGCCCAATACACCGATAGGGGCATATCAGGCGAATCGATACTGTTTTTTTTTTTTACTTTTTATTTTTATTCTAAAACCAGTTCAGGGGAGCAGTTTAGGATTCCACCCCTAAACCGGTCAAACCCCCGATACACCCACTGAGAATCAAATAATGGCGGCGAACATGACTAGGAACACTGCCACTATACCATATACAATTGTTTGTCAAAATGACACAAATCAAATTAACTTTTGAGTTTTGGTTAACATCATAACAGAAAAATAAAAATTGTGAAGAGAGTAATTATTTGTTAATTAAACYTTATATGCCTTCTGTCATTTCACATGACATTGAGGTTCCGACTTTTTCCACATATCACGAATATCCAAAACAAACCCCAATATATCTCTAATTGCTTTTCAGATACTTTGGGCCTCGTTATTATGCCCAAATAATCGCTGTAGTTGGACACTCTAACGAATGGATAAACTCTAGCAAGGAAAAGTAGCATGCACTGTATAAACATTTTTAAGTAACTTGGTTAGAACATAGAAGATGAAAAATTTTTATAGGAAGATTTTTTTTTTTCTTTGCCGCACATGCATAGAGCAAAATTCGATTAAATGTACAAATGCATATTGAATAGTTACAAGATGAACGCAATCAAAAAGGCATGAACAAGGTGTTTGAAGTAGTAAAAAAAAATACTAAACAGTTCCGTTTGGTCTAGTCCCAGCCTTTGTGGATCTCTTTTGCAACTCAGCTTCATAGTGTGCAAAAGCAGCATCTAGAGCCTATAGACAATATGACCATTATCAAGGTGCTATAGGTCTTAAAGAAAGGAATAACTAAAAACACCTAATTCAAACCCTAGTCTCAACATAAAATGAAAAGTAGAAAAATAAAAAATGTAATGTACCTGTGTCACAACTAAGAAATATAATGAAAATCCAAAGAGAGAACTTTATGCTAAATAGAGGAAAACCGAATAGAACAGAGAATAGAGATAATTATAGATACAAATTTGAAAGCAACGAAAACAACTAGACCAACCTAGAAATTAATCTTTTAAATTAATTTGCGACTTTGGGTATACAGGACAGCATACTTCCAAGGATGATTCCTGCAGTTCTTTCAGTTCTTCCATGTAAAATCTATTTTTTCATATACATAGGATGACAATGTAAACATACAAAGAAACAAAGGAGTCCATTTGTTTGGAAAGCAGTATGAATCAACTTGATGCAGCAACTTTTCATAACATTTCTTGTATTTTGGACTTRATAGTTGGTGCCACTGAATCAGTGAAATGAAAAGGAAAATCATTACTGACCTGAAGCATGGGTTGGACAAGGAGAGAAACTTGATGCCGGAAATCTGACTGCATAGACTCTTTTATCTCCTGGTWWTTTGATAGAGAAAAACAAAAATAAGATAAAGTCTAGGTCAGAATGAAGTAATACTGACTAGGGGCTTGCATCCTCTTCATTTTTAATAGCATCTCTTACTAGTTCTAGGAAGTGCAACTTGGGTGGGCTTGGGTTGAGCGTTTATTAAATTTTGAAAGGACCCAAAGGCCTGGGCCTGGTGCATAAAAAATCTTGAAATTGAGCACCTGAGCTGCATGCCTATCTAGGCACAACAGCTGGGTTGCTCACTTGCTCCATTGCAACCTGGGTGACCAGGGTTCAAATCTTGGAAACAGCCTCTCTGTGTATCTACAGGGGTAAGTCTGTACATCTGTCCCTCCCCAGAAAACGCCTTGGTGGGAACCTCATGTACCGGGCTGCCCTTTTTAGTAGCATGCCCATCTAGATCAAACCTATGAAGATTCATATGTTGAAACATTGCTGGAACCATAACCTTTTATAATCATTTCACCAAATAAAAACTAGGTTGTCACATCAAGATCATTGTAGTTAGGGTGTCACCTAGGCATCAACTAGGAGACGTCTAGGTGTCTTTTAAGTCCATCACTGAGGCAACCAACCAGGCAGGGTGTATAAATATAAAAATCTTAAGTGGGGCAAATACGTGTTGATATGAGTTTCTATAACCCATATGGAGTTGATAGGAATACATGCAAAGCTAAAAATAGTGCTCTTAATCCCAGTGTGTATGTGTGCGTTTTCTTTTGAACCAGGGAAGGTCAACTCTTCACAACAACAGCCATTGAAGTCCCACTTACAAAGGAAAACAGAAACCCAAAAAAGAAATTTTACTTTCTTTTCGTTGTGGTGAGAAGACCAAAGGCCTAAATCTAATGGCATCAGGGCAGGGATGATGTGGCCAAAATCATGTGAAGAGCTTTCAGGCCGCCAATTAAGCTTGCAATATGGAACTCCATTGAATGACTAATCTACTTGCGTTAGTTTATATTTCATTATGAAATTTAGTAGCAATCCATAACAGTGTTGTCAGACTCGGATCAGATGTTCAGTTGTTTTTATTCACTGGAGCATGAGTCAAATGGTCCAACTGCTTGGTTCAACCTCCCAACTCCATCAAATAAAAAATGGAAAAAAATCAGAATAAGGAAAAAGGTAATAAAAACTTCTAACCATCTTTTAAGTCTGTTTTATAACAAAACAAGCTTTAAAAAATAAATATTATAATGTAACACCCATTAACATAGGCATTTGAGAAAACTTTGGCCAAGTCAACATTTCTGAAAAAAAACAGGCATCTTGAAATTTGTTTTGACCAACAAATTCCCAGTCCTGGCAATCTGACCAGTCTGATCTAATGTCTGACAAGGCCACACCCAAAATATTACTGCTCTCATTCTAAGAAAGATGAAACTGTAAAGGAATATTTCAGGATTTTCCTATGCCATGGACACACTAGAAGGGTCGAAAATAGAACTTCATGCAAGGACAGTTCCTTGAAAAAAAATAATTACATGTGACATCCCATGTGAAAATGGCCATGACATGTCTTCCAGGCCTTGTACTTGAGATGCAAAGAGAGCCCACAAGTGTGGTTGGAGTGCTACCAAATGTACATAAAAATACAATATTAAATAACCTTACCGGGAAAGCAATAAGACTCTTATAAGAGTATAAACAGTATCTATAAAACAAACAATTCGTGGACTAATGGATCACAAACTTCACTGTAACTTCAATAGATGACATAAGAAAATTAAAATAATAGTTTGAAAAACAATTTAATTGCATAAAATAATTAGTAGTCTGATGCAAGTTGAGTGGTTTTAGAACATAGGAAAAGATCAAAAAGGACATAGATTGAAGTAGTGAGAAACAATCATCTACATGAACTCTGTTCTGCTTAGGGGTGATCATTTCTAGCCCAGCCTGGGCTTATATTCCAAGCCTGACCCATGATCACCTCTAGACTAGTCAGTACCATATCCATTGTTAAATTGTGGGGCTTTGTTTCTTTCACACTGCTTTGTTAATCAGAAAAAAAAAAGTTCATACAAAATTTTGCCTTTCTTGGGGGGTCAAGTTGAACATACAAAAATTCAAAATAAAGAAGCAATGGAGCTTATTTCACATATATGCTCCAACAGTGTCTTTTCAAAATTTTAGAAAAATGGAGAATAGTAAACACTTTGTCCCTTATTGGCATTGTAATGACAAACAGTTGGGGTAGCTACTCCATGTTTGGAGAGGACTGAATTTTTTTTTCTTTTTAACCCCTCCTTTCTATTTTGTCAGTTGATTAGAGGATTACATTATGGTGTCTAACAATGGCTGCAAACTTGACTGCAGTCCATTAGAAGCTCCAAGCTGAATCTTCAAAGGATAACATGCTCTATGTTTTTCCCAGGACTCAGGCAAGAGCATAATAGAAGAATCTTTGAAGGCACATCAAAACCATTTCCTTGAATTTGTTGTTATATTTGCTCATATAAATCTAAGAAATTCAGAAGATGGGTTTGTGTGGAAATTAAAAATGTGACAAATGTCATGGATCAACATCTTACAGAGTTTTATCAAAAAAAAAAAAAAACATCTTACAGAGAATGGAAAGATTTGTGGAGAGGGCCCTTGGTACTTGGGAGGGTATTTTAATGGAATAAGATACATATCAGATTCAAAGTGTCAAACAATGTTCATTAGAGGGTCATAAATAGCATGAGAAAGCTCAACAACCTTATTAGAAATTATGAACCGAAGGAAAGATAATATGCTGCATGTTAGATTCACTTGGTCTAATTTCCAAGAGGACCCCATAAAGCCAAAACTGGACAGATTCCTCTTTTAATTGGATTGATTAGAAAATTGAGGGTTGAGGGGTGACATAATTTCTAAGACACTTCCTAGACCCATGTCACACCCTATTGGAACTATCAAGAAGCAATTACCTGTCAAATTGAATAATTGGATGATAGTAAAGTAGTTGGGTACTCCCTTCAGAGGATAGGCAGAAAAAGGTGGGAATAGTTTCTCAACCTCCTTTGGATACAGGTGGACTCTTCCGATAGAGATAACCACTTTGAGCCAATTTGAAACTCTTCTTGTCATAGTTTCTATACTTCTACCTTCGTTTTTTCTCTAAATTTCTGCCTGGCATAGATCTTGTCCATTGCAATGTCTTGAAACCTGCCCCTCTTTCACGTTCAATAGCAACTCCTGTAAAACCTCTGTGTAAAAGATCTCCACCCTGCTCTCTCTACCCTTTGGCACACATAACATATGTTTTCTTCTACCGCTGTTACTTCCATAACCACAACAAACCAACCATTCGAGTTTCTTCTTAACTCATTTTCAAAGCTTTTCCCAGCTATACTCACTTCACCCTACCAACCCAGTCTTTTAATGGAAAGAGTCGTCCCATCCATGAATCCCTTCAGCCATGGAATCGCTTCCTCAACCACAAAAATGGTGGGTCTTTGCTTCATTATTGACTTCTCTTCTCCATTTCCCACTTTCCAACATAGCCCTCAYTGTTGGTAAGAACTTTTTTTTCTGAGGAGCCCTAGGAACACTAATTGCTTCATGCTTCTTTTATCATCTCATAAAATACCATTGCATAGTTTTGCATATTTAACAATGTTCCTATCAGCTCTATAATTTTTACAATAATTCTACATGACATTTATGACATGTTTCCAATATTTGGATGACCAACATTTCCATTGACATGTGGACTACAGGGCTGAGGTCACAATTGAGAACATTATCAGATTTGAAGAATTTACACTGCATTGGAGGTCAGGCTCCTTAAGCCAAGCCTGCCCAAGTTGCACTCCTAGGTTCTTCTGAGTAGCAAAAAATTATAGGATAAGAATGGATAAATACAGAAAAAAGCAAATAAATGGAGCAAAAAAAATACAAAAACAGAAATAGACCTTGCTAAAGTGTACCTGAAGCTTGGGATAGATCTGCGACATGGCATCCTTCAGTCTGGTTACCTACAGTAAGATAAAGTTAGCCAAATAAAAAAGAAAAACTAAGAACCACATCAGTTCACAAAAAGAGAAAAATCATGCACAAAGGCATGTTTCTCGGATTTTCTGCATCTTTATTATGTGTTATTAACTGTTATCCAAACAGTCCTTGACAAAATCAAGATTTGTTATTCTAAAAATTTTCATGCAACTTGACCATGTATTCATGAGAAAATACTTTTACATGCTCTACACATTATTGCACAATGTTTTATTTAATAAAAGTATATTATGTATTTTATTACATAATAGAACTAATATTGTGGGCATTTCTGTTGATCAAAACAAATCTTATGGGTTTTCCACAAAGCCAATGTTATCAAAGCATTGACCCATCAATGATTAGTCAGTTGAGATAATAACAATTGCATAGTTGGCTAGTGGGTTGATATTTGTGATGCGGTCACTTTGGAATGCCAAAAAGAGTGGGATTTAAGGACTTGGCTGCAACAGAAGAGCTTCAAGTTCTTCAAATTTGGTTACTACTCTGCCGGCTCCTAATGGGCCAGGACGAAGGTGATGGAACTAATCAAAAGAAAACGTTTGGAGGAGGAACTGAAAAGAATCTGAGAACAAATTTGTGCCTTACTAGAGGAGTATAGTTTAAAGGAAGAAGCATTTGAGGCCACAAACCAACTAGGAAGCATGGAAGGAAAGGAGAGTAAGATGGTAGAAAGGGTGAGCAGTAATTTGTTAGAAGGAACTTYGACACAGCAGGTTGTTGAAAAGAATGCTCAGAATTCTGAGAAGAAAGAAGACGATAGGCCCTTGATTAGGAAGGAGGAAAAAGAAGAAAAAGTCGGAGGTGAAGAGGTTCATCTCTGATATTGAGGGAGGCATTGAATTCGGTGCAAGAGGGGAGAGAAGGAAATATTCTAAAAACAAGGTGTCTTTGTGGTTATCTGGAGAGTTTCTTTAATGAAGATTATTAGTTGGAATGTTAGGGGCTTAGGGAGCGCAAGGAAAGAAGAGTAAGGACCTACTTAGAAGAGAAAGGTCTGACAYTATAATGCTTTAGGAAACAAAACCATCTGAACGTGATAGGAGATGGATCAGAAGTGTTTGGAGAGCTAGAGGAGTAAGCTAATCTTAAGTGCCTTCTTGGGGAGCTTCTAGAGGCTTGGTTACCATTTGGGGGGAGGATATAGTAGAACCACTGTCCATAAAATTTAAAAACATGGAGGATGTAGAGATAATGTGCCGAATGGGACTTAGTTTCTTTGCTTTTCTTTAAGTTATGTTTAAGATTTGTGTTAGAAGGTAGTGGGCCTTAGTTATAGGCCTGTTTTCTCCTTTTTTCATTGTTTTTTATGGTTTTCTTTAGTGATGGACACCCTACTAAGGGCACTCATGTAATTGATCTTACTTTTTACAACAAAAGAATAAAAGAGATCATTGGGGGCTGAAGAGAGGTTTTGAACTACACTCACTTCTTCCTTTTCTTTCATCTTCTTCCTCCACTTCTCTCTCTTCAATCTCCTTTTCTCCTGTTTCTTTTCTTTTAATTCAGATTATTGAAGGTGTGATTTACAACTTGGTACCAGAGCAGGTTATCACCTTCTTTTCTTTCTTCTCTCTTTGCCCATACATAGTTTGTATGTAGAATTGATCGGCTGATTAAGAAGCAGCTTATGTAGCCCAGTTGGGAGGGTTTTTGGAGAGGTCTTGTGAAGTTTTTCATCCCCAATTGAAGCCCAAGGCAGGTTCTTGGAGTTTTTTCCCAAAAACACAAGACAACTAGATAAAACTACTTATAGGTCCTAGAAACACATTGAAATTGGCGCTTGGGGATCAAAGGGTAGCCTTTTGATTTTCATTAAGGGCGATTTGAGTTGGACAGGATTCTGGAACCTCTAGTAGGAGCAGTTGAACTTTCTCCTCTTCTCTCATTCAAGCAGGTCCTGTAAAACTCTAGATTTGGTTGTTCGAAGAATAATTTTTTGCTTGGCATAGCAATTCTAGCTGAGTTGAGACTTATTTTGATCTTTGTTTCACTCAATGGAGCAAACTAGAGGAGAAACCAAATATCCCACAAATTTCGGCTTTGGACATGGGGGTCAATGGAGAATATTTTTGGGGCAGTAACCACTGTGAAGATGGATTGGACCAATTATATATCCTGGTCTTAGTCTATTAAGATACATGTGTCTAGTAGAGGGAAATGGGGTTACATCACCAGGAGCAGGAAGAAACCAGGGGAGGATGACCCTACCTATGAGAGGTGGATGCAAGAGAATTATACAATAGTGAGTTGGTTAGTGAATTCCATGCAACCACTATTAGCCAGCATTACTTGTGGATGGAAGCTACAAAAGAGGTGGTGTGGGATAGTGTCACAGCACTACTTGTGTCTACTACTACAACACCTACTTCATCAGGGACAATTCCCTCTTCATTCGCATATTCAGGTATTTGTGCTACTATTATCATCCTTCTATCTCAAGTAATCGTAGGATCCCTTGGATAATTGATTCTAGTGCTTTTAACCATATGACTAGTGTTTCCCATTTTCTTTTCTACTTACCAGCTTTTATCAGACCGAGATAAGATGACCCTTGCAGCCTTGCCGATGGCTCTCTTTCTCTTATCTCTAGCAAGGAAAACACCAAAGCTTCACACACCTTATCCTCAATCCTTCATGTTCCTAAATTAAACACTAATTTTCTTTCAGTTAGTAATTGACAAAATCTTTGAATTGCAGTGTGATATGCCTGTTGGACATGCCTGGACAAAGTCAAGTATCACCTCCGAGAGCAGCTTTTTGTTCAAATGTGTTGGAGTCAATCAGTCATATGTCATTATCGTTTGGATTATATTTTTTTTTCTTCATTGAGTCTTTTGCTTCCAGCTTTAAAGAAACTAAGTTGTTAAGTCTACATTATGAGTTATGCAAGTTGTGAAAGCATTGTAGAAACTCTTATTCTGCAAGTGATAAAAGATCTACAGTTCATTTTCATATTGTTCACTCTGATGTGTGGAGACCATACCATTTACCTTGTATGGGTGGTTATAAATATTTTATTCTTTTCATTGATTTTTCTCGTTACACACTTACACCCGGCTTTATCTTACACATTCTTGTGCTAAAGTACCCAAACTTGTAAAACAGTTTCATGAATTTGTGCTTACCCAATTTGATACCCACATCATGATATTGCGATCAGATAATGCCAAGGAATATTTCGAGAATGATCTTGTATCGTACTTTGAGAAGTTTGGGGTACTAGAGAGAGAATCGACATGTTGTTGAGGTATCCAAGAGCATCCTTTTTGCCTCTCATGTTCGAGTGAGATTTTGGGGTGTAGTGATGACAACTACCTACCTTATTAACGGCATGCCTTCTCAAGTCTTGGGGTTCAAATCTCCCTTTGTTGTCTTGTTTCCTAAGAGTGAATTGTTTCCTATTCCCTTGTGTGTCTTTGGGTGCATGTGTTATGTTCATATCCCTAGATCTTAGAGACATAGGTTTAAACCCAAGGCCCAGAGGTGCATTTTCTTAGGGTATGCCTCCACACAAAATGTCTATCACTGTTTTGATCCCACTAGAACTCGTTTTGTCTCCATGGATGTTACCTATGCAGAGTCACTTCCATTTTATGGTCATTCTTCCGAGGGGGAGCATTCCGTTGAACTGTTTTCTTCACTACTTCCTTTGCCTTCTCCTGTTGATCCTAAGGTTCTCATGTGGTTCCTTCTGTTCCAATGGCAGAGCCTTTGTCTCCAAGTTCTACCACTCCTGCTCCTCCTCCTACTAGTCCTCCAGTTTTCATTACTGATCCTATTATCCATAGGTGGTACCAGACACAAAGGCTATAGCGTGATCAAGTTGTTTCCCCATCTATAGTTGAGCCTCAACCCCTGAAGAAAGGACAAATCCTTCATTGCCTACTCCAAAACCTCCCTTCCTAGACGTGGGTGTACCTATTGTTGTAAGAAAAGGTAAGAGGAAATGTACAACACATTGTATTTCCAAAAACTAGTCTTACAACTTGTTATCCCCATTTTATTGTTCTTTCTTAACCTTCATTTCTTCTTAGCCTATACCCAAGTCAATTACAGAGGCCTTGTCTAAGCCATAATGGAGGGAAACCTATACCCACAAGTTTGAATTGATAGATTCAAAACTGCACTTGTTGAGTTTGGTTATACACAGACACAATTCAACCATACCTTGTTTGTGAAATGGAGAAACACTCAAGTTACCTTCCTCATTGTTTATGTTGATGATAAAGAGGAAGTTCAAGCACTCAAGACATTCCTTAACTCAGAATATGAAATTAAGGATTTAGGAGAATTGAAAGATTTCCTAGGAATTGATGATGGTGAGCTTTTGGCAAACAAGGGAGTGTTCCAAAGACTTTTGGGGAAGTTGTTATACCTATGCATGACATGACCAGATATCTCATATGTTGTCAAGTGTGATCAGTCAATTTATGCATGCCCCTAGAGATACACATATGGCTGTTGTAAAACAAGTTCTCTGTTACTTAAAGGGAACTCCAAGAAAGGGTCTCTTCTCTAAGCATAGACACATGAAGCTAGAGGCATACATACATGTCGATTGAGCTGGTAGTGATAATGATAGGAGATCTACATCAGGTTACCATGCCTTGGTTGCAAGGAACATTGTCTTCTAGACAAGTAAGAAACAATCAGTAGTAGCCAGGTCTTCGGCTGAGGCAGAGTACAGGGCAATGGCACATGGAGTTTCAAAATTGTTATGGCTCAAGTCACTTCTAGAGGAGATGGGTATTACACATGTTAAGCCCTTAATGCTTTACTGTGATAATCAGGTTGCACTCAACATAGCTCACAAACCAGTTCAGCATGACAGGACAAAACATATTGTAAGTTGACCGGCATTTTATACGAAAAAGGGTAGCTTCCAAAGAAGTTTGCCTTCCTTTTATTGCCTCGCAGCAACACTTAGCAGATGCTCTAACCAAGGATGTCCCAAGGCAAA